AGAGAGAGAGAGAGAGAGAGAGAGAGAGAGGCTAAACGACAAAATTAAAATATGGGTCAGATTGCAACCGCGACTTATTTCGCAATTAAAATAAATTTGAAAACTTTATTTAATATTTTTGCTGTAAAGATCACAACAAAATCTACAAGCAGTCCAATTTTTAGCATTTTCCACTCATTCTTCTAAGCGCGAAAAACCACTGAAGTTAGAGTAGTTTTGTTTTTGGCCCACCCATGGTTGAGTGCCAAAAATAGAAAATGTGTCGAATCTGCGCGGCGATTTCTTAGTGATTTTTAAAAATATTTCTGATATTTTTCCTGGAAAGATGACGACCTAATCTATGGATTCTCAAAATTGAAATATGGGTCAGATTGCAACCGCGACTTATTTCGCAATTAAAATAAATTAAAAAACTTTATTTAATATTTTTGCTGTAAAGATCACAACAAAACCTACAAGCAGTCCAATTTTTAGCATTTTCCACGCATTCTTCTAAGCGCGAAAAACCACTGACGTTAGAGTAGTTTTTTTTTTGCCCCACCTATGGTTGAGTGCCAAAAATAGAAAATGTGTCGAATCTGCGCGGCGATTTCTTAGTGATTTAAAAAAATATTTTTGATATTTTTCCTGGAAAGATGACGACCTAATCTACGGATTCTCAAATTTTCAGATTTTCCTGCGAATTATTCTGAGCAAAAAAATCGTCTAAGTTGTCTCTTGCAAATTGCGGGACTGGCCCCGCCGGTACCCCTTTTGTGTAGGGGCTTAGTGGAAGGCAACATTCACGCACGTCTGCACCAGACACTGCCTCAACGCCTGGGCCTGAGGGCATTGGCCCCTTTTCTTTTTGGGGTCCACTTCCACCCGAGGACCGGTCCTTTATTTTTCCAAAAGTCCCGGTTCTAGAAGAGGTAGTTGTAGGTTGTTCGCAATATCTTGAAGGACCGGTCCCCCCAAAATTTTCACCCCCTAAGAACCCACTTGCGTCCTTGTCCCCGACCGCCGAAAATACGACACCTTGACACAGACGTTGAAGCCCATTATATCGCAGCCCTAAGGGTATGTGTTCCTGCTTTTTTGTCTTGCATGAGCCACATCTGCAGTGATAATTGAGGCAAGGGCACATTTATTTTTGCGCCACCGACAACTTGAACTGACTCTCAGTAGCCGAAACGGCGAGCGTGCACATGACAAGGTTAGAGAGTGTGTGGACGTGCACTTTGGGGCGCTCATTGATTAACCAGACGTACGGTGGATCCGCAAAATAGGCGGAGTATTTAGCGATCTTGCACAGCGGTGCGAGCTAGAGAAAGACCGAATTTTGATTACTATGGCGCCGCACACTGCGTGCGTGCACGCAGAGCCCGATATTGTTATGGCCGAACGTCCAGGTTGACCATCGGTGTCGCAATCGGGGTGGTTTTTGTTGACTTGCTTAAGGCGACGCTTGATCCTGCGTAGCACGAAGTGCATGAGGCACCTTGATTGTTGTGCTTTTGTTTCTCGGTAGGAGCCTCCTACGACCTTGGCAAGGCGTGCGTAAACAGGGTTCGACATTTGGAAGAGTGGCCACTCGTGCAAGTCTGGAATAACATCGACACGAGTCTGGCATGGTAGGGAGTGTGCTTGGTAGCTGGGGGATCGGCCCATAGCCTTTACGCCGCAAATGCGGGAATTTGGCGGCGGAGAGAGCAGTCGGTAGGCCAAGGTGTGTTGGGCCTAGGCTAGGGGTAGATACTTTCATATGGGTTTTTTGTGTCTATTAAGCCAAAATTTGAGCTTAACCTTACTGGTTACGGCACTTAACTTTCATATGATACAGTTTTTTTACGTCTATTAAGCCAAAATTTGAGCTTAACCTTATTGGTTACGACACGTAACTTTCATATGATAAGCATGGGGATCAAGGCCAAATAGCAACAAAAAAGTGAAGAAGTGCAATTGAAGGAGATTGAAAGGTTGAGGGTCCTACGGGAGTAATCTTTTGTTTCTGTAGTCGGTCCCGGGCATGGCCGACTGGAGGAAACAAGGGGGTGTCAGTGGTCCTCTCTCTTTTACACCCTTTTTTTCTTGATTATTATTATTATTATTATTATTTATTATTTCATTATTTATTGGTCCTGTTATTTATAGGTCGGGCCAGATACCGGTACTGGGGTTCGTGATGGAACCAATGAGCCTAGCTCAGTTGGTACACCCATAAACTGTTGAAATGCAACCTGAGTTCATATCCAGATGGAATCAGAAGACTGAAATTCCTGAATTACTAGGGGCTGCTCTCGAGCGAGTGTGCCCTTAGTCATTGACTTACCGTGACCTGTCTCTTATACACATCTAGATGTGTATAAGAGACAGGCCTTGCTCCACGCGCCCCGCCCACCGACTGCCGATCAATCCCTAATTTTCCCAAATACCCAAATTCAGGGCCTCCTGCTGTCAGCCCCCAAATGTACAAATAGAAAAATAGAAAAAAAAAGGTGGCGAACGTAACTTTACCAAGTTTTACGGCAAGATTCATTCATTCAAAACTTTCCATTCCACATTTTTGCGATTCCGCATTTGGCGGGTGGTGGCCGTAGGCCGCTCGCAATCGCAAATGGCGAAAGTATCTGGCCAAGTTCCACTGCAAGATACGTTCCACATTTTTTGCATTTGGCGGCATTTGGCGGGAAATGGGACAAGGTGCCCTCAGCGTCCCCGCCTTCAGCCAGCGTCCAGGGGCCAAGTCCCACTAGCAGCGTTGAGCTACCTCAACGCCTGAATCTGGACGCTTTCGCGGAGATGTGCAGAAATGGTGTTGAGTTTCCTAAAATGCACGTCTCCATTGACTTACCCTGAGGGCATGGGGCATGGCCCGTAGTTCGTTTGTTGATGTGGTTCGGGAAGGGTAAGGTAGTGATTATGCTGTAGGGGCCTCTTTAGACACTCCTTGTGGACCCGAAATC